ATATGTTCAACTATATAATTATGTAATAATATAAATTTGTGATTAAAAATAAATTTAGTTCACATATAAACTATAAATTTAATATAAATTATTGTTAATTTATATTATATATTTAGATAAAATTTATATTCATAAATTATATACTAAATTCATATTACAAACTTGCATCTATAAATAATAAATAGATAAAAATTAATTTTTAATAATACATAATTAAAAAAATAAAAATAAATTAGACAAACAATTAAATATAATTAACCAAAAAATAAATAAATGTTATTCCCATTGTTAAAAAAAATAATAAAAAAATGCATGTCTTTTGAAGTAGAAAATTTCAACTAAGTTAACCCCACATCACTTGAAAGCTTTATTTAGTTTTGTTTATATAACTTTTTTGTTTACATATTTTAGAAAGTCACATGAGATGGTGGGACAATGTGTGTATATTTGTTGGTGTTTAAGTGATAAATGATCATTACAAAAATTTAGTGTTCATTATAAAATTAAATAAGTTAAATTTAAATAAACTAACTAAACTTAATTTTTGTTTTTATTTAATAATTTTCATATATAGCTATTGAACAAGCCGGTTCCTAAAACAGATAACAGTTCAATAATTGGCCGGTTGAACTGCAAGTGCAAAGTAGTTCGTTCATATTGATTTGATGTCGGCCAAACTTTTAAGATGAACAAAACCAGCCATATGATTGGTTCATAGTTGAAGTAGTCAAGTCGGCCAGTCAAATTCGATTTTCAAAATCATTACTGCTAGAACTCTCAAAGTACACCATGAATGATATATGTTCATACATGTGCGGGCCTATTCCTCATAACTTATTTAACATTTTAAATATCATTCCTTTTTAACCATCATGACATATGCTATTGTAGTCAATATTCCATGAATCATATATGTTCATACATGAGTAGACTAGAATAAACTGAAATAAATAATAGAGTAAACATAACAAATAAGAATGTGTAATTATATAAGTTTTTTACTATTTCCTATAGCACCGTTTGGATATCTCACCCTGTTTTCCATAACAGTCGAGCAATTTGGTTCACCTGAAGTATCCTAGCCTCTTTTTCTTTTGTAAACAATTTCCACTAAACTTCTCATTCAACCCAATATTTCTCGCCTGAATTTAGTAATTAGCCATATCAGAATTCAGCCAACAGCCTTTGTTTTTTTTTTTTTTTCTACTTTTTACTGGTTCCAGCAACAGCCATCAACAACTGCAGCAGTCCCTTCCCTCTTTTCTGTCTTGATTTCAGCAAACAACAAACTGTTTTCAATCACAACTAATTTCAACTAACTCTCATTTCAGCATATCTTCTTCTCTCTCTCAAATTACTGAATTAAATGCAATAATACATCTGTTTTCAGCTCTGTACAACTGCCTACAACAGTCTCATGTTGAATTTCTCAATAGATTTCAGCATATTAGCTCTCACCTCAGCTAAATTCGACCCTAGCCAACTGATTTTAGGAACCCTACAGAAGAAATATTATCTAATTTAAGCAAACCACATCTCATTTCAACTAAACAACAACTTTAACCATTAATTACATCATCTACCTAACTTCTCTTTACCTTGATTTACTGATTTTTTTCTTCTACAGCAGCCTAAAGCAGCAAATCCATCAATCTCCCCCCCCCCCCCCCAAATCCATCAATCTCCCCCCCCCGCCCCCCCAGCTTCTCATGGCTAGCTTCAGCTCTCGGCAACAACAACAATACGAATGGAAAAAATGAAGGAACTGGCAGTGAAATAAGGCTTAAGGAAATTTCCTAATATAATATTATACTTTCTATTCCACTAACTGCTCTTTATCCTATCCCAACCGCATGATTCAAATCAGCCATTGCATGCCTTGCTAAGTGGTAAGCTACATTAAAAAAATAAAATAATGAAATGAATGATAACAATCATAATTTAAAAGTTAATTAACTTATTTCAATATTTTAATTTCAAATAACCGTTATTGAATATTAAACAATTATTCTTGTAATAGTTATACAAATATATGATTGGATTATACCATAATATTTTACCTATGCAAAAAAATGCTTGGAATCGAAAGTAGACTTTAACGAAACTAAATGAACATTTAGAGGAAGTTATGCTTAACATTATTTTGAACAATTTGGGCATTATAGGGCCAGTGTGACATTTACCTAATTTAGCTTTAAAAAAAGAAATCCTCTTATGGCTAAGAAAACATAGAAAAACCATTGAACGCACCTGATAGCATCTTGGAATATCTGACACCTGATATGATCCATGTGTTAATGCTTCAACCAGAAATGATGGATGACGGAATTTATAATTGAGAAGCAACTGGAGATCTTTCACATTCACGTAAAATTCAGGTCTTGGCAAAACAGGACTTTCAACAACTGTTTCTTTACAGTCATTGATCTCCAAGCCTAACCACTTCAGAAAAAATAATGCTTGCAACTCTCCAGCAGCAATGAGATAAGTTCCTATTAAAGCCTCTACAGAATCAGCAATGACCTTACTTTTCATAAACCTTCTTCCAATACTATAAATATTTGGCAATGCCATAGTAGAATTCATGTAGGCTCCAGTGCAATCAGAATTCTCGCCAGGGATTATCCATTGCTTGGGCTCATGCTCTTCTGTGCGGATAAAACCCTGCAAGTTAAAACAATTTCAGGAAAATGGATGAATCTAAGAAAAAAGACAAGAAAAGCATATAAATTATTGGAAGACTTCAACAACATGATTAAGACTTAAAAAGCATAATAGCACATGGATTGCTTAAGCCGAGGAAACAAATTTATCATAAGAAAAAATGTAAACCACTAGATAAAGAAACCCTGAGTAAATCTTATAAAAATCTAAAAAATGCAGATCAATATGAATCAGGCAGCTCACCTTGGACGGTGAATCAATTTTAGTTAAAGTTCAAGCATAGAGTAGTTTGCTCAATCTTCACAATAAGGCTCGATATAATATAGCTAGGTTTTGATAGGAAGTGGATACACTTTTAACAAAAATCAGAAGATGAAACATGAAAAATTGGGAAGAACGCCTCAAAATAATTTTTATTGAAAGACCTTTAAAGAGAAATGCAAGATACAATTTGATCTTTATAGGAGAGGAAGATCCGTCTCTCCCAAATCCCTAGTCACCGGCTAGAGCCCAAATAACATAAGAATAAATAAAATTCAGCAAATTCCAAAATTTCCTCTTGAAATTACCCTATTGATAGCCTTAAATAGGCTCCATTAGTTCCCTCCCAAATCAGTCTCCTTTTCCTAAATAATTCCCTCTCTGATTTAAATTAAAATTAAATTTATTTCCCTAATTAATTCTCTCACGATTGTTCAATTCCCTCTTAGATTTTGAATTCAAATTACACCTCTTGCTTAAATAATTCCCTTCAAATTGTAATTTAAACATTCCTAAATAATTCCATTTTGAATAATAACCTTTCTAAACAGCTCACTTTTGATTAGTAAAGTTCCTTATTCCCTTCCAATCAAATCGCTCAGTCCATCAATACTCACCTCCCAAAGTGTCACATTATCCTCAAAGTGGAACGAAGGAAACTGCTACTGAAGCATTTGACTAATAGCACTGACTGAAAAATGGACAGATAATGGGTTGAATGATTCAATCCTCCAGCATCTCCCTAATCAATATCTCAATCATATACTTCTGGATTTGGCGATAATAGTACAGAAAAACACTGATAGGTGAGACTACTTGCTTCAAGATGATAACATACTCATGTTCCCGCTGAGGAGGCTGTCACGACCCAGCCCGGTTAGCTCAAATTAATGGGGCGGGAACTGACGGTCGTACGGTAATTACAAAAATATAATACTTTCATTTCATAAATAACATAAACAAACAATCATCCAATAACAATATATGAAAGAGCCACTAAACTTCCAGTTCAAATATCTCTATTACATCAACACAAATAATCTTTCAAAACATAAAATAAAACCACTACATTAGTCCACGATATATCAACTAACATAAGACATGAAATAACCATAAAAATATGTTTCCATGAATTGCTCTACACTGGTATGTAACATGTCTATCCTCCATCAATTCTTAACAGGTTCTCCTGAAAATCATTCTCACAAACAGGGGTGAGCTAACGCTCAACGGGTAATAAATATCTCAATTAAATTCATAAGACAATGAAAGAAGAAATATTATGCCATAAAATCTTCATATGATTAAACTGAAATAACCTTGAAGAAATGTACTATAATGTCAAAATTTTATCTTACATGAACATATTCCATATATCATTTTGAATGCCTGTTTTTTTTTTTTAAATCATAACATACAATCATAACTTTTCATTTTTCAATTCTTTTGCTTGACTTTTCCTTTCTTAATCTTACATGCATAAAAGCATAAAATACTTAATTTTAATTTTATACACCCTTCCTGAAAGTACCAATATTTTTGTACTGATCAGGTACATAATCAAATTTAGCCAAATATTTCATTTCATTTGATCCGAAGAGTACTTTACCAATTGCTCCGAGGATCTCTTTACCATTTTGCTCTAAAGAGCCCTTTACTAGTTGGCACTCTGGATCATCACATTCAATCATTCAATACTTATCATAAAAATTAATCATTCATGAATTCATATATGATTGACTAATAATGTTTCATGTTCAAATATTCTCAAAAAATTTTACATGTTATCAACAAAATAAATTTAAAAGGGAACACATGCGTGTTGCAGTATGAATTATAAATAATTAACATAAAACTTTTAACTAAAATAAAATATTAAAACATATGAAATTTTAGCATTTAAAAAGAAACTTATGAACTTAAAAGATGTATGAATACCTACCTCAAAAGCACGGTAAGCCTCAACAACGTCGCTAGTAAGCCTCAACGACGCCGCTTGCTCTCGCGGCTGTGGGCTCCGAAAATTCGGCCCCAGCCTCCCCGCTCGCTTTTGATTTATCCGGCGAGGGAGTTTTAACAAATAAGTTCCGAGGTAAATTTTGGAAGGCAGATGAGTTTGTAGATAAAACACTACCCAGAGATTTCGCCCTAATTTTGTGAGGACTTTATGATCTGAGTTCTGGTTTCCTATAGGCGCAAGCCCCTATAATTAATTACCCATCCCAATCACGAGAGAGAACTTTCGATTAAGGCTAGTCGTCGATCAGATACATAGAGAATACGTGTATCTGGCATATAGTAGAAGCATAGGTTTTAAAATAGAATTGATTGGAAATTTGGAGAATTGGGTTTGGATTTGAAATTTGGGAATTTGAAAATTGAAGATTTGACATTTAAAATAGGAAATTTCACCATCTAGCACTTAAAGCGGATGGTGGGGGAATGGATGATAGACCCGATCAAGATCCCATGGTTCCGTCGTCCCGGGCCATCGTGGTCCCTGGGTCTACTTAATCAGAGGAGGTAGTCGACCAAACCTGACAGAAGGATCCTTGTCGGCAGCCATGAGTTGCTTCGTTCAAGGGGACCTTGTAGACCTAGGTTGGATGTTTCTCTAAAGGGACAAATTTGAATCCACCTTAGCTAACAGAGGGCTTTGTGCCCAATCGATCATATCCTATTGATTCATATCTCAAGGATTTGATGCCAATAAGGAACGTAACGGCGCTGGCAATACTGGTATTTCGTGGTGCCATTTGGCGGCAAACCGCCGGTCAAAGAACACGTACCACGTCCTTACTGGCAGGAGACTGTTTTGAGAATTGATCCTAGTGATATTTTCGACTAGGCAATTGGCTCTTTGTGAGCTAGAGTAGTTTTTATTTTTGTCCACCTCGGCAAACTATTGCGGATGGCGGATGAATTTTGCTTTAAGCGGGTTGATTGAATTATTTCATTTTAAATATTTTTGGATTTTGATGATTTTGAGATTTTCGGAATTTTGAGTGGAGCTTTGGAGTATTTGAAATGAACTTTATATATTTGGGAGACATTTGAAAATATTTGGGAACGCCTCCGGTTGAGATCTGCATTCAACACAGTCATCATCGGGGATTTGGGGTCATTTCTCTTTATGGATTGAACCTTGACAACTCTGTCGGGCTGTCGACAGAGGATCGGATTTCATAGGCTTTATGCACTTGATAGTGAATTCTTATTGTTATAGGCCTTGAAGGCCTAATATGAATGTATTAAGACAAATATAACGGTCGCCACAACCGTACATTTGTTTGAAACCATGTAAATTTAATAACCCGCGCAGCATCCCTAGACGTCACGTGTGTTCCAACAACACACTCGTCGGGACCCATGCGAGTTCTATGGTTGCTTTTACCCTTTTTAGTGTACCTATGTGTATACAATCTATGGTGCACGTGCGGGGGTATTTCACAATATTTCAGTCATGCAAGCAATTGCCATTTGAATGTGTGCAACATGCCATTTGAGAGTTTCAAAACGCCTTATGTCCACTTGTATGAGTTTTGTGGATCCGGTGGCGTGGCGTAGTAGCTTCTGAATAGAGTTATTCGCTGCTTTGTACAGGTACACTGTCACGCACTACTGGTATGATTTATGCAGGTAGATTGTAGTGCAAAAACTAATCTCCTGCTTTATATTTGTATTTGCTTGCAGTTGTCATATTCTTCATGTGTTTTGTTGTGATTTTTTGGTCTTTTTAGTACATCCGCTACTGTTGCATCTAAGTAGGTAGATGTATTTTTTCACAGACTGAAATTGATTTCAAGATATTGCATTTACTGAAGTCTTTCTGCATCTACCCCTGGGTGGCATGTTATACATACATCTGTATTCGTTGAGAGATTGTATGTATTGCAGATATTCTATTCTTGATTGCATGAAGGTTGATTTGTGTGCTTGAATTTTGATGTTGATAGCTGACTGAGTCATACCCACTAACTACTTTGTGCGTATGAGCTAGAAATTCACCATACTTATAGCGCCTCAATGTCTTCCAGTACTTGTGGGGACTATCATATGCATCCCTAAGATAGCTGGTATTCGCTCGTAGTGAGATTTATTACATTTGCAGTTCATTTTCTCATCATCATCGCTTGCTAAGATTTGTAGAATTTACACATTCCAGACATTAATATGCCATTGGTCGAGCTACATTCTTCATCAGTGCTTGTATAACTTTTATTTATCAGACCTTGCACCTTTCATTTGTTAACTATCTGACGTTGGTTGGGAGAGCATGTTATACCGTTTGAGAGCCTTTACAGCGACTAGTGAATAGACTTTGAACATGTTGTGTGTTCTCAAAAAAGTTATTTTATTCATTACTTATCCACTTTATGTATTAGTGGATGTTCGTATTCCTTGTGAGTTCTTGATCTTTTCTTGCAAACTCCACTCGTTCCTTGTCCTTCACTCGAATGCATCTCCATAAATTCCTTGCATACACATGTAAGTGGATTATTACCCATTAACGGTTGGACTTTAATTATCATAATCATTATGACTGAGTTGTAGTGTTGAAGGAGCCTTTATGTTATGATACCCAAACAAGTCATACTTGACATCTTTTATTAAATATAAGCTCCAAACTCAGTCATCCACATTTGATCAGGAATTCGAGACGGCTTTTTGACATCCATAAGAGATTTCATGTCATAGCTTATAATCACGTCACACCTTTCTTTAATTCCACCATCGCT